ATTATTACTAAATTACTCTACTTTAACCGACCATACAAAAGAGTCAACAGTTGTCTCAAAATTTTCCTTTATTTGACAATACGCGTCAAATTAGAAAAAGACAGGAAACGCCTCGGACATTCTCTCGTTAAAACAGTGACTAACAACGTACAACAGAAAGGTTAGTTTGGTCCATACAAAAAAAAAACCTAAACTGCCACGTAATCTCGATCCCGCAAAATCTATGCTAACGGATTATTCTCACATCGCCACGTGGCAGACCGTTCCGCGCTTTCCTCCATTTCCACCTCTCCAAAAACGTAAACAAAATCTTTAATTTTTTTTTTAAAAAATTAATTAATTCTCGTCCTCCCCTATATAAAACCATAAATCAGCCTCCTTTTTCTCCATCTTTGTTCGAGAGTTTGTTTAAGAATTTTCCTTCGAAAACGCTTTTTCTGTTTCTGTTTTTGCTGTAATTTGACCGAGATCATGGCGAAGAATATTCTGGTTACCGGCGGTGCTGGCTATATCGGCAGCCACACCGTGCTTCAGTTGCTGAGGGGAGGTTACAGGACGGTGGTGGTTGATAATCTGGATAACTCTTCGGATGTCGCCCTCAAAAGAGTAGAAGAACTCGCCGGCGAATTTGGCAATAACCTTTCCTTTCACCAGGTTTGCTGAATTGTTGTAACTTTACTGCTCTGTTTTGCAATTTTATGTTATTAACTGGATTTTGAGCCTGTAGTTGATTCGAAGTTTAATTTGTTTTGAAATTTCAAAATTGAAAAGCCTGATTGGTTTGGCTAAAAATCTCTGTTTGGTGCTTTTTTTCTGAAAGTTTGAAGGTTTCATTCAGAATTTCAGAATTTTGTTTAGTTTTTTCTGGGGAAGGGGTTAATTCCGCGATTAACTGATTGAATTCTCTGATTTTCATATCGATTTAGCCCAAAAGAAAAAGGTTTTAATCTTGATTTATGAGCAAATTGCTGAAGCAAGTGTTTAATTCTCATGGACGTAGTTTCCTCAAAGTTTTTCTTCTACCGAAAAGGGGAAAAAGGGAAAAAAAATGATCTTGAAAAATAAGCAACTTTTCGTGAACGTATAAAAGTATGCAGCGACTTGAGTAGGGGGATGGTAATCTATAATTGCCTCTTTTTTTTTTTTTTATTTATTTATTGGGCGATAAAGTTGAAAGCTTGCCGTAGATGCACGTGAAAGGTCAGTCTTTCTGGATGAAGTTAACAGACTAAATGAATTATTAGTGTTTTCATGTGATTGAACATGAATCAGTTATTTTATTGAGTAAAATAATAAACTTTCTTCCCTTTGGTTTTATTTTATGGTTATATTTTCTTTATCTGATTATTATTTATCAGCAATGGCTGTAGGTTTTTTTTTTTTTTTTTTTCCAAAAAAAAAAAAAAGACTTCTGGTTTGACGTTCTATAGATTATGTTAGATTGATTTTGTCCTATTTCTTTTTAAATAGTCAAAGTCATGCACCTTAGTTCCTTGAAGATATTATTCCATTATAGTAGTAACCAATATTATGTGTATACCCATGATTTGTTGGATTTTTTTTGTCTTGTATATCAGTTTTTAATAATCAAAACAACCCCACATGTCAGTGACTC